GAGTAATGTTCATACAATGAATTTTTTGCAATTTCTGTATGAGTTCATTAAATCTGTTACTATAAAGTATTTTTTAAGTCTTTTGAAAACAATGTAATTTACTTTTTTTATTTTTTATTTTGGGGGGGGGGGTTGGTTATAGAGCTTGAACTCAGGACCTGGGTTGCTGTCCTTGAGCTCTTTTGCTCAAGGCTAGCACTCTACCACTTGAGCCACAGAGCCACTTCCGGCTTTTCTTTTTTGCTTATGTGGTGCTGGGAATCGAACCCAGGGCCTCAGGCATGCAAGGCAAGCACTCTACCACTGAGCCACCTTCCCAGCCCCACACCAAACTTATTTAAATTTAAATCTTGGGCTGTAAACATTTACTTCATGAAGATGAATAAAAATGATTATTTAAATGTGTATTCCTCCTAGTAAGACAAAATTATAATTCCATCCTGTAGTTGAATGTGATCTCTGAGAGCATGTCTGTCCTATGGTGGTTCTACCAGACAGCCACAGCCTGGGTGCCAGCAGGAAAACACAAGCCCAGTCAAAGCACAGTCTGAAACACTGTGGCCCAACTGACATTTTCCTCTAGAAATTCAACAGTTATAGACTCATTATATGCAATGTGCTATGGAAACTCACAAGACAGAGTAAGACAGTTCTGTTTAGAAAGGGCTAACAAGACCCACAAACACACCACCACCACCCTGGGCCCTAAGCAGGTCAGACTCAAAACTCTTGCATACTGAGGGAATGTTCTACTCTCACTTCAGCTCCATCACCATCAGTCTTTCCCTAGAACTGCTGCTTCCTCCTGCCAGCCTCCCCTGTTTCTCAGTGATTGTTTTCTGCAACCTGGAGGAAGCCAGCAACAAGTGGCCAGGCCTGTAGGGATGGGATTAACAGCAATGTCATTTATATTGCTACTTTAAAATTCCTTCTACATGAGTCAAGAATCCAAAGCAGGGCTGGGAAGGTGGCTCAGTGGTACAGTGTTTGCCTTGCATGCATGAGACCCTGGGTTCGATTCCTCAGCACCACATAAGCAAAAAGAAAAAAGCCGGAAGTGGCACTGTGGCTCAAGTGGTAGAGTGCTAGCCTTGAGCTGAAGAGCTTAGGGACAGCACCCAGGCCCAGAGTTCAGGACCATTCCCCCCCCCCCCCCCAAAAAAAAAGAATCCAAAGCACTGATCTCTGTGTAGTCTTTAAGAAAACGTATTTTATAGAAAGGAAGAACAGCAGGAGAGAGTCTGTGGTGTCAAGCAATACCGGAAATAAGTAACTGTGCCTGGCTCTAGAGGCTGCAGTGTTATCGGCCTCAGTATCCAGGACTCTCTGCCTATGTCCAGTCTCCAGCAAGTTCATGTTTTGACATCAAGTTTACACCCAAATTTTATGAACTCATAACTCAAGTCCTCCTTAAAATGTTTTAAGAGTAGACAATTTCTTCACAAATTGCCTTTCAAGATGTAAGAAATTACAATTTTTATATAGGTCACCTTCTTTGTCCTTTTAAGACCAAAAAAATCTTTCACTGATAAATAATGCTCTTTCATGTGAATTCACATACTTGGATCAATAAAATATATCTCAAAAAGAGCCAGAAGTTGTGCTGTTCTCAAGTGGTAAAGTGCTATTCTTAAGCACAAAGGGGCTCAGGGACAGTGCTTAGGCCCTGAGTTCAAGCCCCAGGACCAGTATGTGTGAAGCCCCTTAGAGACGAATGTATATACAAGAACTTAGATAAGCATTCTGCTGAAAACCATATCCTTTATGGCAATGCAATAATCCTGCACTCAAATTTCCCCTCATGAAATAAACATATTCAAGCAAAATTTAAGTTTACTATATAGGGCTGAGAAGGTGGCTCAGTGGTAGAGTGCTTGCCTTGTAAGCATGAGGCCCTGGGTTCGATTCCTCAGCACCACATAAGCAAAAAGAAAAAAAGCCGGAAGTGGCGCTGTTGCTCAAGTGGTAGAGTGCTAGCCTTGAGCTGAAGAGCTGAGGGACAGCGCCCAGGCCCAGAGTTCAGGCCCCACTACCGGACTCAAAAAAAAGAAAAAGTTTACTATATAATAGTCAAACTTCATAGTTCCATGGAAAATTTAGTCCCAATCTTTAAAAGGCCAACTTATTTTTTTGTTGTTGTTGGCTGTGGAGTTTGAACTCAGGCCCAAGACACTATTCCTGAACTTTTTTGCTCAATCCAATTCTCTAACACTTTGAGCCATAGCATCACTTCTGGTTTTCTGGTGGTTAATGGGAGATTAAGAGTCTCAGGGACTTTCCTGCCCTGGCTTGGCTTCAAACTGAGATTCTCAGATCCCAGCCTCCTGACTAACTAGGATCACAGGCATGTGATGTGCCTACTGGTGCCCCACCTAAGCCAAGTAAGTTTTAATTTCCTATTTTTAAGCAAATAATACAAATTTAAAGGGCATGATAGACAATAATGTTTCACTTTACTGGGATGGTTAGAAAAGCTGTGAAATGCCAAACTATGACTAGAGGTTTTACCAATGCTCTAAAGAAACAGCATTAGTTTCCAATATACTTCAGTTATCATAATCAACCTAAGACAAAACTAAGACAACCTAAGACAGTTTAGTTATATAGTTATGACTAAGGTGTCCTTTTTTCATAATTAACAGTGGACCACTGAGGATGTGAAGCAGAAGGGTGGTAAGTTCAAAACCAGTTTGCATACCCCATCTCAAAAAAAAAAAGATGTTCAGACAGAGTACTGGCCTAACATGGACAAGACCCTGGGTTCAATACCTAAGCACCTCAAAAAACAAAAGCGAAACAAAACTGTAGTCATGGCATGGTGGCTTATTCATATCAAGGAACTGTAAGTCCAAGCCAGCAAGAACCTTTCTGAAAGGGGGGGGAAATCCTAGATGTTTTATCTGTTGTCACTTTTTTCTTTTTGGTCACTTGCAATCTTGAACTCTGGGCCCAGGCTCTGTCCCTCAGCTCTTCAGCTCAAGGCTAGCACTCTACCACTTAAGCCACAGTGCCACTTCCAGTTTTCTGGGGGTTTACTGGAGATAAAGAGTCTCACAAGCCAGGTACCGGTGGCTCAAGCCTGTAATCCTAGCTACTCAGGAGGCTGAGATCTGAGGATCATGGTTTAAAGCCAGCCCGGGCAGGAAATTCTGTGAAACTCTTATCTCCAATAAAACATCAAAAAAGCAGAAGTGGCACTATAGCACAAGTGGTAGAGCACTAGCTTTGAGCTGAAGAGCTGAGGGACAGCGCTCAAGCCCAGAGTTCAAGCCCCACGACTTGACCAAAAAAATAAAAAATAAAAATAAATAAAAATAAAAATAATTAGGGGCTTGGCATGGTGGCTCATGGCTGTAATTCCAGGCATGAGGTGGCTGAGACAGAGTGATTGAGTGTTCAAGGCCAGCCTGAGCTATATAGCAAAAATCTGTCTTAAAAAATGTTTGGCTTAAAATCCAATTTGGGGGCTGCAAAGATGGCTCAGTGGTAGAGTGCTTGCCTTGCATGCATGAGGCCCTGGGTTCAATTCCTCAGCACCACATAAGCAGAAAAAGCTGGAAGTGGTGCTGTGGTTCAAGTGGTAGGGTGCTAGCCTTGAGCCGAAGAGCTGAGGGACAGAGCCCAGGCCCAGAGTTCAGGCCCCACCACTGACAAAAAAAGTGTCTCACAGACTTTCTTGCCCAGGCTGGCTTTGAACCGTGATCCTCAGATCTCAGCCTCCTGAATAGCTAGGATTATAGGTGTGAGCCACCAGCACCCGGCTTCTCTTACAACATTTTTAGTTTGGTTCTAATTAGAGTAGGCCTTAGATTCTCCTTTGTAAATATGTTTAGTATACTTGCAATACAACTTCATTAAAATGCTCTAGAGATCCTATCACACAAAGTAATAGACATTCCAGGTTTTTATCAAAGTGGCCAATGTATTTGATCATTTTACTTGACACACAAATCCAGTTTTTATTCAGCCAGTTGTGGTGGCACACATCTGTAAATCCCAGCACCCAGGACTCTGAAGTCAGGGCTGGAAGTGTAACTTAAGAGGTCTAGTCCCTTATTTGAGTCAAGCAGAAAAGGTCAGATAAGTTGATGTTAGGGAAATGAACCCTAAGGTATGTATTCAAATGTTTTTTTTCTTTCATGCGATTGTTTCTAACACATTTATAAGATTATTTCTTTGTTGCTTTGTATGTCCCTCCCCCACGGTATAACCCCTGCTTTCACTGTATTTGATGTCGGTATAATTTGGGGAGGGGAAGTGAAAAAACAAATCGTTTAAATAGGGATACAGGTGGACCCATTGCAACAATAAGATGTACAAGTCGTTGAGTCGAAAAACAAACTTTACAACTTTGGTGTGGGGGGGAGGGAGGAAGATTGGGCAGGGGGAGTGGGGAGAGGATGGGAAGGGACGGGAGGGGAAACAAAGGAGAGGCTACAATGTTTGATAAGAAATGTACTCATTTTCTTGCCCATGTAATTGTAACCCCTCTGTACAGCATTTTCACAATAAATATATATATATATATATATACACACCAAAAAAAAAAAAAAAAGAGTTCCAGTATACACAAGACCTAGGGTTCAATCTCTAGCATGGGTGAGTTCAAAGCCAGCCTGGGCTACATAGCAATACTCTATCTCAAGAAAATAAAACCTACTTAGGCACTGGTGCTTTACTCCTGTAATCCTACTCATGAGGATGAAATCAGTTAATCAAACCAATTATACTAGTAAGAAATTAAATCAAACTAAGTGAACTATATAAGAACTGTGGGCTCTCTTTTTAACTCTGTATCACAGCCTATTATAAAAGAGTATTATTTCAAAAAAAAGAGTATTATTTCATATTTAGAATATATTTCATATATAAAAACCTATTTGGAAACCTTTAATTATAAAAATCTGCTATGAATCCAACCCTGTTGGAAGGCACTAGAAAAAATAAACTTATCTAACAGTGCTTTCATCCAGCTGTCCAAAAGTTAATAGTGACCTTACCTTATATGGATCAAGTAAAAAGTCACTGAACTTGCTAGGCAGAGAGTATTTCTTCACCAATTCATCTTCAACCACCCAAGGTGCATTTTCTCCAGTGCCAGCCCGCAAGGCGTTGTGCCGTATAAAGTACCGGACTATCTCCTTATTTGGTGGGCGCTCTGTACGAATCAAGCTGTCTGCTGGCACATTGCTAATGATCTAGGTGAACAAATACAAAAAACTCACCACTGAGATAGGAAGCAATTAGCCCATGCAAACAAATATGTCCTACCCAGAAAAATCACAATTCCATCGAGTTATAAACTGGATAGAAAAAAAGCAGAATAATTTCCAGCTATAGAATAATGTCAATTAAAAAATACCTCTAATCCTAAAAATATGCTCTTTGGATAAGCAATTCTAGTTATGAATTTATCTGGGAGTAAATAGACAAAGTCACCATCAAATGCTTTTTTTCTGGTGGTACTATGGTTCAAATGCAGGTCCTTGAGCTGGCTAGACAGGTGCTCTACCACTTGAACTACATCCCCAGACCATCTACTACTAATAGCAGAGGTAGGGTTTTATTACCTAAAAGTTGACCCATAAGGGATTCATTTTAAAAATTAAAATATATACATATAATGGACACTTTCCTTTTTTTTCTTTCCCTTTTCTTTCTTTTTTGGGTCACTGGGGCTTTAACTCTGGCCCTGGGCACTGTCCCTCAGCTCTTCAGCTCAAGACTAATGCTCTAACACTTGAGACACAGCCCACTTTTGGTTTTCTGAGTGGTTTATTGGAAATAAGAGTCTCACAGACTTTCATGCCCATGCTGGCTTTGAACCATGATCCTCATATCTCAGAGTCCTTAGTAGCTAGGGTTACAGGTGTGAGCCACTGGTGCCCATCACACTTTTTTTTTTTAGGTCATGGGGCTTGAACTCTGGGCTTGGGCTCTATCCCTCAGCTCTTTAGCTCAAGGTGAGCGCTCTACTGCTTGAGCCACAGCGCTACTTCCGGTTTTCTAGTGGTTAACTGGAGATCAGAGTCTCACGGACTTTTCTGCCTTGGCTGGCTTTGGACAGTGATCCTCAGATCTCAGCCTCCTGAGTAGCTAGGATTAGAGGCGTGAGCCACCAGCGCCTGGCACACTTTTCTTTTTAAAAGTTTCTTGGAGCCAGGCACCAGAAAACTGGAAATGACGCTGTGGCTCAAGTGGTAGAGCGTTTGGTTGAGCTGAAAGGCACAGAGACAGTGCCCAGGCCCAAGACTGACCAAAAAAAAAACAGTTCTTGGAATAGGACAGACTCTCCAGAATTGCTTATGGTGCTGGACTTCCCAAAGCCAAAACAATAACAAAAACAGTCATTCAGGTCTGTCTCAATGAGTCAGGAGAACCAAGCTAGCACTTGATTACAGTATGGCTGAGATAAATTTTAATGTATTTTCTATTCAATACATGTATACATACAATGCTTACCAATAAGAAAGCATGATAGGAAAACAGCATATTTTAGCTACCTGCTGAATGAGGGAAAGAAATCAATCACTGTATTTAACAATACGTAACTTTAAAGAGATCCTGACATGTTTTAGGATCACTAAGCAAAAACACAAATGCATCAGAATGGAATGAGATTTGTCAAGATTCTGAGGTGGAAAAAAGGAAAGAAGCCAAAAACTAGGTTATAATTCTCATTTACTTATTTATTACTGAGCGCTGACAGAGACATTTCAAACTTCTTGGGTCTCAGCTGCTTCTCCCATGAAAGGGTTTTTTATGAATAACCTATGATGCAACTAGCTCCCACATCCCAGTTCTCTACTCGATCTTTCCAACAATAAAACAAGGATTCTTGGGTCTGGGAAGGTGGCTCAGTGGTAGAGCGTTTGCCTCGCATGCCTGAGGCCCTAGGTTCGATTCCTCAGCACCACATAAGCAAAAAGATAAAAGCTGGAAGTGGTACTGTGGCTCAAGTGGTAGAGCGCTAGCCTTGAGTTGAAGAGCTGAGGGACAGCGCCCAGGCCCAGTGTTCAGGCCTCATGACCGGAACCCACCCCCGCCCCCCAAAAAAAAATTGCTTAAAAAATAAAAACCAAGCTGGGAGCTAGTGGCTCATGCCCATAATCCTAGCTACTTAGGAGACTGAGATTTAAGGTCTGTGGTAGAAGTCCGTGAGATTCTTATCAATTAACCAGCAAAAAGCCAAAAGTAGAGGTATGACTCAAGTGGTAGAACATCAGCCTTGAGTGAAAAAGGCCAAGTGAAAATGAAAGGCTCGGGGCTGGAAAGGTGGCTCAGTGGTAGAGCGCTTGCCTTGCAAGCCTGAGGCCCTGGGTTCGATTCCTCAGCACCACATAAACAAAAAAAGAAAAAAAGCCAGTAGTGGCACTGTGGCTCAAGTGGTAGAGCGCTAGCCTTTAGCTGAAGAGCTGAGGGACAGCACCCAGGTCCAGAGTTCAGGCCCCACGACCGGACCCAAAAAAAAATTTTTTTATAGCAATTTTTTTTTATTGCGATTAAGTGATTGCATGAATTTCACAGTGAGATAGTGATAGTTAAAGTCACAAACACATTCTAACCTTATGGGGCAAATTGTCTTTATCATGGTCTATAAAGTTTATGAGTTCTGTGAGCTTTGACAATAGTTATTTTTTCTACATCAGGTGATATGTACATTTCTTTCCTTTTGCTTAGTGTCAGCTGTTCCCTCTTTCCAGTTCATTCCCTATTTCCCATCACTGCCACTGAGTTGCTTAGTTCGTTTTGATTAATGACCAGTGCAGCTGATAGGTCCTGCTGTTGTATGTTTTCCCATTTCCCTGTTTCTGTGTCCTCCTCCTAGTTTTCCTCAGATGTGCACATATATGTGGTCAGCAGAATGGGGTCATTTAGTAATGATTTGACCAGATGAGTGGAGGTCCTTTGTTTCTCAAGTATTGTTTATTTTGTCGTATCTCCTTAGGTTATTTTCTTTTTTTTTTTTCCGGTTCGGTCATGGGGGTCTGAACTCTGGGCGTGGGCACTGTCCCTTAGCTCTTCAGCTTAAGGCTAGTGCTCTACCACTTGAGCTACCAAGCACCACTTCTAGCTTTTTTCTTTTCGCTTATGTGGTGCCGAGGAATCGAACCCAGGACCTCATGCATGCAAGGCAAGCGCTCTACCACTGAGCCACCTTCCCAGCCCCAGGTTGAGTTATTTTCAAGACAAGGTCTTGCTTTATGCCTGAACTGTAATCCTATTTGTGCTTCCCTTTGCCACTGGGATGATAGAGGCACACCACTGGATCAAGCATTATACTTCTTCTGTAGCTAGGCATGACAGGCTCACACCATCATGTCTAGCCATTGCTTAAGATGGGGTCTTGCATGCCTTGGCCAGCATCAAACTGTGACACCCTTATTTACACCTCCCAAGTAGGACTGTAGACTTCAACCACAGCACCTGGCAAGGGAATAGATTTGGGGGGGGGGGGGGGGGGGTTGGTCATGGGGCTGGAAATCTGGGCCTGGGCACTGTTCCTGAGCTTTTTAGCTCAGAGTGAGCACTCTATCACTTTTTTTTTTTTTTCCTTGGGTCCGGTCGTGGGGCCTGAACTCTGGGCCTGGGCGCTGTCCCTCAGCTCTTCAGCTCAAGGCTAGTGCTCTACCACTTGAGCCACAGCGCCACTTCCGGCTTTTTTCTTATGTGGTGCTGAGGAATTGAACCCAGGGTCTCTGGCATGCGAGGCAAGCACTCTACCACTGAGTCACCTTCCCAGCCCCAGCACTCTATCACTTGAACCACAGTACCAGTTCTGGTTTTTTGGTGGTTAATTGGAAATAAGAGTCTCATGGACTTTCCTGCCCAAGCTGGCTTTGAACTGCGATCCTCAGATCTCAGCCTCCTGAGTAGCTAGGATTACAGGCATGAGCCACCAGCGCCCAGCTAAGGAAATAGATTTTTATTTTACAAACTGAGTTAAAAATTTCAAATGTGATGGGCAATCGTGGCTCATGCCTGCACTAGCTAATCAGGAAGCTGAGATTTGAAGATTGCAACTCAAGGCCAGCACAGGCAGGAAATCCATGAGACTCTTCTCTCCAATTAACCATCAGAAAACAGGGAGCAAAGCTGCAGCCCAAGTGGCAGAGCTCTATCCTTGAGTGAAAAAGCTCAGGGACAGCACCCAGTCCCTGAGTTTAAACCCCAAAACTGACCAAAAACAAAACCAAACAAACAAAAAACACAGTTCAATGTAAAATTTTTCTTTTTCTCTTTTTGTTGATGGTTCTGAGGAATTAATCAGGGCCTGTAAAATTTTCCTTGTACCTGAGTAATTCCTACAAAGGAAAAGCATGCTATCTCCTAGGGAAGAAATATATAAACAATCAAAGGTCACAATTAGAAAGTCACTTAGAATTTACGTTACAAATACATTTCATTCATATTTTTCTTTAGCTAATTTTTTTCAAGAAAAACCAATACTGTAACATTTTCTAACATCTAAGAGGACTGAAGTAACCAACTGACCTTATCTTCATTTTGTAGTTTCACATCATATTTGTGAGGCAAAAACTTGGGAGGAGCCCATTTCCTTTCTCCTTTTTTTAATGAAGTAGGAAGTTTTCGTGGAGACCTGCGTGCTCTGTCATCTAGCCACATCAATAGAAAATTAGTGGGGGAAAAAGAATTAATTCTATCCATTCACTCATGAAAAACCATTCCTAACACTTGACTTTGCCCCAGGTAGGGCAGTTAGGGAGAGCTAAGGCTTAATTTACTTTGTGGACATTTAAATTGCTATCTCAATCATAATGAACAGAATCTTGAGTTGGTACTAAACTTACATGTTTAGTTGCAAAAAAGATTTCTATGCAATAAAATAACCAGGGTCTCCTCTAACTAAGGACAGTGAGCATCATACATACTGATACTCTCTCGCCTTCCTTCATCCTCTTTCACTAATGCCTCTTTCTTCGGGTGGTCCTGAGCAATTTGACTGGAATTCTCTTTGTCACTTGATGGAGAATCACAGGCACTATCCGATTTCTTCTCTGTGGCATCTTCATCAACTTTCTCCAAAGGATGAATCTTCACAATCTTCACCTTGAGCATTTTCTCCTTTCCAATCTATATAGGTAACAAGAGGAAATCAGAGATATCTAGTAAATAAAAAAATGGAAGCTTAAATCTAATGTTGAGAATATGTGATTCAATACACATTCCCCTCACCTAATAAATACTCACTGAAACACTAATACCACTAGTCGTAAGGAACTTTCTCAGTCTTGTAGGCCAAAATATGACATCTTTGAAAATATGCCCGCCCCCTCTTTCCTGGCAACTTGTGGGCAGGGACAGGAGGGGGAAAATGGGGAAAAGTAAAAAAAGAGGTGACATTGTCCAAAACAGCAATGTATTCATTATCTGACTTATAAAATGGTAACCACTTTTTACAACAGCTTAATAATAACAATAAAATTCTATTTTAAAAAATGTTACTCAGAATCATACAGTATATAACTTTTGGAAAGTGGCTTTCCCCCAACATATTCCTCTGGAAAACCAGTGAAGTGGTTCCAGGTATCCATAGTTTGTTCCCTTTAATAGTTGAGTAATCTTCCATAATACAGCCATCCATTGAAGGTATGCTACATTCTGTCTACAAGTAAGTTATATGGTAAATATTTGTCTAAAAAAAAGCTCTCCTCTGCAACAACCAAAAAAAAAAAAGAAAGAAAAAAAAAGGGTTTCAGCAAGTAGATTAGGCTGAGTGCAATGCTTCACACCTTTAATCTTAAACTATTCAGGAGGCTGCGGATCACAGTTCAAAACTAGCCCGGACAGAAAAATCTCAGTGAGACTCACCTCCAATTAACCACTCAATAACTGGAAGTAGCCCTATGCTCAAAATGGTAGATAGTGCTAGCCTTGAACAAAAGAGCTCAGGGAAGCTCATTCCTGTAATCTTAGCTACTCAGGAAGCTAAGATCTGAGGATCATGGTTCAAAGCCAGCCCAGCAGGAAAGTCTGTGAGACTCTGATCTCCAATTAACCACTAGAAAACTGGAAGTGGCACAGTGGCTCAAGTGGTAGAGCGCTTACCTTGAACTAAACAGCTCAGGGACAGTGCCCAGGAGCAGAGTTCAAGCCTCACAACTGACCAAAAAAAAAAAAAAAAGATTAGACAAAAGACAGACAGATAACAACCTCAGTCAGGGCTGAGAATGTGGCTCAGTGGTAGAGTATTTGCCCAGCATGCATGAAGCCTGGGTTCGATTCCTCAGTACCACATACACAGAAAAGGCCAGAAGTGGTGCTGTGGCTCAAGCGGTAGACCGCTAGCCTGAGCTGAAGAGCTCAGGGATAATGCCCAGGCCTAGAGTTCAAGCCCCAGGACAAAAAAAAAAAAAAAACATACAGTCGGTGCAGAGGCTCAAGACTGTAAGCCCAGTCCTGTGGGAGGCAGAGATTAGGGGCTGAGGTCAGCCTTGGCTATATTATCCTTTAAATAGAGCTATTTTATTTCCTACAATGTGTTTTTTGTTTTGTTGGTCATGGGGCTTAAACTCTGGGCCTGGGCACTGTCCTTGAGCTCTTCAGCTCAAGGCAAGTGCTCTACCACTTGAGCAACAGCACCACTTCCAATTTTCTGGTGGTTAACTGGAGATAAGAGTCTCGTGGGGGCTGGGAAGGTGGCTCAGTGGTAGAGCGCTTGCCTTGCATGCCTGAGGCCCTGGGTTCGATTCCCAGCACCACATAAGCAAAAAGAAAAAAGCAGGAAGTGGCGCTGTGGCTCAAGTGGTAGAGCGCTAGCCTTGAGCTGACGAGCTGAGGGACAGCGCCCAGGCCGAGTTCAGGCCCCACGACCAGATCCCCCCTCCCCCAAAAAAGTCTCGTGGACTTTCCTGCCTGGGCTAACTTTGAACTGCAATCCTCAGATCTCAGCCTCCTGAGTAGTTAAGATTACAGGCATGAGCAACTGGAGCTCTGAACAATGTTTATTTTCATATGGGAAATTTTTTTGGTGGGGGAAGTACTGGGTCTTAAACTTAGGGCTTTGTACTTGCTGGGCAGGTGCTCTATATCCACCCTTTCTGCTTTATTTTCTGACTAGCTTGGACCAAGAATCTCTTTATACTCTGGCATAAACACAGCAGTGTTTTGTTGGTTGTGATGGTATTTCTCGATCTTTCAGCAGACTTAAAGCCCCTGTCTAATCCCCAGCACTATATACACTAAAAATCTACAAACTTGGGCTGGGAAAGCAGCTCAGTGGTAGAGTGCTTGCCTCGCATGCATGAGGCTCTGGGTTCGATTCCTCAGAACCACATAAGCAGAAAAACTGGAAGTGGCGCTATGGCTAGCCTTGAGCTGAAGAGCTGAGGGACAGAGCCCAGGCCCAGAATTCAAGCCCAACAACCAACAAACAAAACCCTGGGCTGGGGGTGTGACTTAGTGATCGAGTGCTTGCCTAGCATGCATGAAGCCCTGGATTTGATTCCTCAGAACCACATAAACAGAAAAGGCTAGAAGTGGCTCTGTGGCTCAAGTGGTAGAGTGCTAGCCTTGAGCAAAAGAAGCTCAGGAACAGCGTCCAGCCCAAGTTCAAGTCCTAGGACTGGCAACAAAAAAAAATAACGAAACAACACTGTTTTTTAAATACTGGTTCCCTTTCTTCTAAATGCTACCTTAAGCTTTCACAAGATTATGTAAGGATAGTATTATTCTGTAGCTATTTGGGATAGAAAATTAATAAATATAAAAGAGCTTAGTGGTAGAGTGCTTGCCCAGTATGCTTGAGGCTCTAGGTTTAATCTCCACCTCTTCAATAACAAAAAATTCAAAACTTGATTTCAATGGTCTAATAATCAAAAGTGTCAAAAACAAACTTAAATAGAAAAATCAATTCATTCATATTACTGAGAAGACAGATTAGATAAATCTGAAAGTATTTTAAACAAGTAGGAAAAAGTTTAAAAAAAAAAAAAAAAGCCAAGATAATGAAACAGAGCATGTTCCCACTAGGCCACTAGGGCTGGGACTATGCTGCAACATAATACTTGCATAGCAAGTACAAGGCTCTGGGTTTAATCCAAAGGGAAGAGGGAGGGAAGGGGAGGGGAAAAAGGGAGAGAGAGGGGGCAAAAAGAAAAGGGAAAGGAAGGAAAGTCCCATTCATAACACGTGTGTGTGCGCGCGCGCGCGGATCCTGGGGCATGAACTCAGTCCCTGGGCACTGTCCTTTAGCCTTTTTGCTCAAGGCTAATGCTCTACCACTTGAGCCAAAACTCTACTTCCAGATTTTTTGGTTTCCTGCCCATGATCTTTAGATCTCAGCCTCCTGAGTTGCTAGGATTACAGGCATGAACCTGGCCAATCCTTCTGATACGTAACATTAAGTAAAGCAGACTTCAAGAATAACCCACTGATGCCGGGCGCTGGTGGCTCATGCCCGTAATCCTAGCTACTCAGGAGGCTGAGATCTGAGGATCGCGGTTCAAAGCCAGCCCGGGCAGGAGAGACCGTGAGACTCCTATCTCCAATAAACCACCAGAAAACCGGAAGTGGCGCTGTAGCTCAAGTGGTAGAGCGCTCGCCTTGAGCTGAAGAGCTGAGGGACAGCCCCCAGGCCCAGAGTTCAAGCCCCACGACCGACAAAAAAAAAAAAAAGAATAACCCACTGATTCCAGTGCCCTACATCTTACTTACATATATATATTTTTTTCTAATTTGGGGAGAAGAGGATTAACAAAATGCTGAAAGAAGGATACAACCTGACCCATTGTAACAATGAGACAAAAAGACACTATGTTGAAAATGGGAGGGGCTGGGAAGGTAGCTCAGTGGTAGAGTGCTTGCCTTGCATGCCTAAGGCCCTGGGTTCAATTCCTCAGCACCACATAAGCAAAAAGAAAAAAGCCGGAAGTGGCGCTGTGGCTCAAGTGGTAGAGTGCTAGCCTTGAGCTGAAGAGCTGAGGGACAGCGCCCAGGCCCAGAGTTCAGACCCCACAACCGGATCCAAAAACAAGAAAATGGGGTTGGGGGAAGGAGTTGGAGAGGGAAGAGATAGTAGGGGAAAAACAAAGGAGGGGGTAACAATGCTCCATAGACAATATATTCATTACCTTACTCATGTAACTGTAACCCCTTTGTACAGTATCTTTACATTTAAAAAAATTAAAAAAAAAGAATAACCCAATTAAGCTGGATGCTACTCAAGAGGCTGAGATCTCATAGCAAAGGCTATGAGACTCTCATCTCCAATTAACCTCAAGAAAACAAAAAGTGGTGCTGTGGCTCAAAGTGGTAGGGTACTAGCCTAAAGCAAAAGAGAGGTGAGGGACAGTGCTCTGGTTGAAGCCTCATAATCAACAAAAACAAAAGCAAACAAAAAAAGAAATAACCCAGTTTCTCACACCCAGACAGAATTGCAGTCTATGATCTTCCCTGGAGCCTCTAACTCTGATCCTCAATGAACCAAATAGAAGGAAAACAGGCACCTACCTCAAAGTCACACTCTTCTCCTACAGCATATTTGGTCATGATTTCCAACCAAGCAGTATCTACTAACTTCTCCAAGGAGGCAGTGTTATGATGAACCATCTCCAGAACAAGTTTCTCATACCAGATAGGGAACTCCTCCTTTAAACTAAAGAAATAGATTATTAGTTGCCAATAAAATGTAAGATCAAACAAAACAAAAACACCTCCACAGCAACTCAATTTAACACCATTTTTTATGACTAGGCTTTTTAGACCTTTTTTTTTTTTTTTTTTGCGGGCCTGGGCACTATCCCTTAGCTCTTCAGCTCAAGGCCAGTTGTACCCCTTGAGCCACAGCGCCACTTACGGCTTTTTTCTTTTTGCTTATGTGGTGCTAAGGAATCGAACCCAGGGCCTCAGGCATGCAAGGCAAGTGCTCTACCACTGAGCCACCTTCCCAGCCCCTTTTTAGACCATTTTTAAGTGCAAAGGTCCCAAAAAAAATAACAATACTTGTAGATAAAAACCTGAGCTGCTGAGATGTATCAGGACTTTCCAAGAAACTGTGCAGTAGTTATTTAGTTAGAATAAACAGTCAAATTCCCTCCTTCCCGCCATCTTCTATCTCAACTAATGTCAGGCTCCAGACCAGAACAGTATGCTAGCCTACAGACTTATTAACTAAGCCAACTAAAATCATGTTCCTCTCTTCATCATTCACTGACTTAAATTTGAGTACCTCCTGCTGTTGTCAACAATTTGGCATAAACCGCCCTCAATGCATCCAATATCATCGTGTTCGGGAAATCTTGTGAAGCTTTCCCTGCCCCCCCCTCCATGCTAGCCCCTAAATTCTCACTCTATCTTACTGTCTGTAGGATGTAATAGTTTTCTGCTCAGTTCTCTGATTTGTTCTAACAGCTCTTTACTTGACCCTCTGGGTTTTTCAGGTATATGATCACATGATCACACTTCATGCCATCACAGCTAACTTTCCTTACTACACTTCATATCCTTTAGCTTGTACGTTCTTTTTCATAGAATTTCCATATACATATCTTCTTATCCCAAAAAGACATCTAGAGGGTGGTATTATCTTCCTCTGCAAGAGCAAACAGTAATACCTATTCCATGGAGAATACTTTCCTTTGGATTGAATAAAAGGTAAAGAAATGGAAGAGGAACCCCTCTGTACATAACTTTTTTTGTTTTGCTTTTTGTTTTTATTGATTATGAGGCTTGGGGCTGGGAAGGTGGCTCAGTGGTAGAGCACTTGCCTTGCATGCTCGAGGCCCTGGGTTCGATTCCTCAGCACCACATAAGAAAAAAGCCGGAAGTGGCGCTGTGGCTCAAGTGGTAGAGCGCTAGCCTTGAGCTGAAGAGCTTAGGGACAGCGCCCAGGCCCAGAGTTCAGACCCCACGATCGGACCCAAAAAAAAAAAAAAAAATGATTATGAGGCTTGAACTCAGGACCTTGGCACTGTCCCTGAGCTTTTCTGTTCAAGGATAGTGTCTACCAACTTTGAATTACAGTGCCACTTCCGGTTTTCTGGTTGTTAACTGAATATAGAGTCGCCTGGCCTTTCCTGCTCAGGCTGGCTTTGAACCGAGATCCTCAGATCTCAACCTTCTAAGCTTACACACATGAGCCACCAGTGCCTGGCTTGTAGATACCTTTATAGTAATGACAACAACAACAACAAAAGAAATGGAAAAAGGAAGAAAAACAAAGAGCTGGGTACTTTTTTTTCAGACATGATCTCAACTCCTCAAAGCTGTGCACAGTGGTAAAGGCCTATCATCCCAAGCTACATGGGAGGCTAAGATAGGAAGGCTCAAGGTGCCAGGCCAGTCTACAAGACTCCACCTCCAGAGAGAGGAGGCCAGATACAGTAGTACGCACTGGTGATCCTAGATGAAAACAGCAAGCCTGGAGGATTGGGGTGGGGAGGGGTGGGGTGATGGGAAGGGGAAACAAAGGAGGCTACAATGCTTGATAAGAAATGTACTCATTATCTTGCCCATGTAATTGTAATCCCTCTGTACAGTATTTTCACAATAAAAAAAAAACTTATCTCTGAAAAAAAAAAACAAAAACAAAAAACAACAAGCCTAGGGATCACATGAGCCAGGCAAGCAAGGGCCCTAAGCTCACAACCCAGTGGCATCAAAAAAAAAAAAATAAATAAAGTCATAAGCCAGGCACCTGTGGCTTATGCCTGTAATCCTAGCTACTCATGAGGCTGAGATCTGAGGATCTCAGTCCAAAGCTAGCCCAGGCAGAAAAGTCCATAAGACTTTTATCTCCAATTAACCACCAAAAAATCGGAAATAGCGCTATGGCTCAAGTGGTAGAGCACTAGCCTAGACCTGAAGAGCTCAGGGATAGCACTTAGGCCCAGAGTTCAAGCTCCACCACTGCCAAAAAAAAAAAAGCAGGGGGGGTGGGAGGGGGTCACTTTCTAGAAAATGTCTATCCCCTATTCTAGGTACATATAAACACACACACACACACACACACACACACACACACACACACACACACACACACACACACACACACACACACACACACTCTTATCTGTACTAATCCAAGAGAGATTCAACCAAAGAAAAAATAGGTGCCAGGTTGAGCCCTGACCAATCACTAGTCAGTGATGAAGCTGTTACCAGAATCCCTGAAGAACAGACCAGCAGTATTAGAGCACTAAATTCTCTTTTTTTGGGGCCATTCGTGGGGCCTGAACTCTGGGCCTGGGCACTGACCCTCAGCTCTTCAGCTCAAGGCTAGCACTCTACCACTTGAGCCACAGTGCCACTTCTGGCCTTTTCTGCTTATGTAGTGCTGAGGATCGAACCCAGGGCCTCATGCATGCAAGGCAAGCATTCTACCACTGAGCTACCATCCCAGCCCCTAAATTCTGTTCTTATATAGGAGAGACAGCAGCACTTACCTACTTACCAACTATCAAGTTAATAAGAAAAAAGCATTTTCTCCAAATTCCAAGACTACTGTTTTACCATCCCTACTTTCTACCTTGGTTTTATTCTTCTGAGACAGTGCCTCACCATGTAGCCCACGCTGGCCTTGAACTCCTAATCTTACTGCCTCTGCTTCTTGAATGCTAGGTCTACAGGAAGGCACCATCAAACACCCAACTTGCCTCTATTCCCTATGCCCTGAGTATCTTCTTTGATAACCTACCTGAACTTTGAGGAGACAAATTTTAAGACTCTCAACCCAACCTCCTGGACTACACAAACTATCCTCAAACTGTGTACCTCTATGTGTAAAAAGATCTCTACAACTTGTGGGTGGAGAAGGGAGGGAAAAACAGGGAGAGGGAGAGAAAGTGTGACACTGTCCAAAAAGAAACGTACTCATTACCTGACTTGTGATAACTTCTCTGTGTATACCTTTACAGTAAACGCACGCACACGCACACACGCATACACACACACACCGTAGTTTTGACAGCATCTATCAGCTTCTTTGTTGACAATCACATTTGCAGAGCATTTAGAACATAAAAGGTACAGAGCAAGAACATTCAAAGGCTTGACCAATACCTAATAAGTGCACTCATAGAACTATATTCCAGGGACTGGGAATGTGGCTTAGTAAGAGAGTGCTTGCCTCACATTCATGAAGCCTTGGGTTTGATTCTTAGCACCACATAAACAGAAAAAGCTGGAAGTTGCACTGTGGCTCAAGTGGTAAAGTGCAAGCCTTGAGCAAAAGATGCTCAGGGATAGTGCCCATGCCCTGAGTTCAAGCCCTAGGACTGGCCAAAAAAAAAATCCCTGTATTCCACACACATTGCTACTAGCAAAATGCTACTAAGTCAATCCAAGGCACCCATACACCAACAAAGCACACCAAGTATAATGTATTTCAGAGTATGCCCCCACAAGTATAAATACAAATACAGCTTCACTGTTGATATTTCCCCTCTCCTAACAAGGTGAAGATAGTACAGAGCATATTACTCACAGTTCAGCCACTTCCTGTTCTTCCTCCCAGGCCTCCTTGTGTGTGAGCTGACTGCTTCCAGTACTCTTACATGTCCAAATACGCTCACTGTACCTTTCCAAACGGGCTTCATACTCTCTGTCAGCAGTGGTTCAGGAAAATATGCAATCAACAAACACAACCAATCCATACTCATTAAATACTTAGCTACAGAAAATGTTCTATATTCTTTCTGTAATGTACAGCAAGAGAAGAAAAAAATAGAATCCTAGTTTTCAAGTTGCAAGTCCGAAGTCTAATTAAGATTAAAGAATAAGAATGGTTTGTCATGTTTTCTAGATATCAGTATCTTTAGTACAAATGAGATTTTCTCAATCTGCCAGCTTTCACTCTACAAGATGTGAACAGTATTAAGTTTCATCCAAAAAAAAAAAAAAGCCAGGTGCCGGTGGTATACACCTGTAATCCTAGCTATTCAGGAGGCTCAAATCTGAGGATCATGGTTCAAAGGCAGCCCAGGCAGGAAAGTCTGTGACTCTTTTCTTTGAAGCAGTCTGGGGGCTTGAACTCAGGGCCTGGGTGCTGTTTCAGAGCTGTTTTGCTCATGGCTAGCACTTCTATCACTAAGCCACAGCTCCACTTCTAGTTTTAAGGGGTTAATTATAGGTAAGAGTCATGGGGACTTTCTGCCCCAGATAGATCTGGATCACAGTTGTGATCCTCAGACTTCAGCCTCCTGAATAACTAGGATTACAGGTGTGAGCCACCTGCATCTGGCCTGTGTGACTCAAACCCAATTAATCACCAAAAGTCAAAAGTGGAGCTATGGCTCAAGTGGAAAAGCTCAGTGACAGGACCTAGGCCCTGAGTTTAAGCCCCAGGACAGTACAGAAAAAAACAAAAAGAAAATAAACACTGCTATTGCTCTCTTTTCTATCAAAATACTTTGCTGCTTATTAATCTTTTTTTATTGTGAAAATACTGTACAGAGGGGTTACAATTACATGGGCAAGATAATGAATACATTTCTTATCAAGCATTGTAGCCTCCTCCTTTGTTTCTCCTTCCCATCCTCCCCCTCATACCCCCCCCCCCCCCCATGCTTATTAATCTTGACAGAATTGTTTTTCCTGAAAAGTTCCTGCTTCGGTCAGGTAGGTTGGCCCTTGTTAGTTAAATCCTTTTCCCATTTCACTTTAAGATATCCACTAAAAGCTCCTTGAATTTTAATTACACCCTGTAAATTACACCACATCCTTTTGCAGATTGAGAACCCAAGCTCAGCCAACATGAGCAGAGGAGCAGGGTCAGCTGGGTTAGGGATAAAAAGGGAGCAGGCTGGGGATATAGCTTAGTGGTAAGAGTGCTTGTCTAGCCCTGGGTTCAATTCCTCAGTGCCACATAAACAGAAAAAGCCAGAAGTGGCGCTGTGGCTCAAGTGGTAGAGCACTAGCCTTGAGCAAAAGAAGATCAGGGACAGTGCCTAGACTCTTGAATTCAAACCCCAGGACTAGCAAAAAAAAAAAACAGGGAGCAGCCTGCCTACCTGTGTGCTTGCCAAATTTTTGGCTGATGCAGCATCTGTCTGCAGAAGTAAACTTTGCCTTGCTGAGTTCTGTTCAAATTATTGTCCTCATTCCTATGCAATCCCCCAACATGCATAGCTATTTCTAACAAATATCTATTGCTTCCTTGAATTTATCATTCAGTGGTAATGCATTTGCCTAACATACATAAAACCTTGGGTTTGATTCTAATACAAGAAAAAGTAAATTTCATCAGGCCCTAAGCACATTTGTAATATATTTAGCATATTTTTGATATATTTACCAAGTGTTTCTGTGTCTCTAATAATATTACATTCTCAAGATCATTTGCTTTTGTCTAGTTGTTCAGTCTTTGTAAAAAATGAGGGAAGAGAACAACATAGTTAATGCCAAACACATGGAAAATTTCCACACAATCCCACTTTCAGCTGGCACATTCAAATTCAAGTGGCAAGTAACTGGCTTATGCAGGGCCAAAAGATGCTGTGCAAGAAAATAAACTGACAGCACAATTACAGAGATAGCTGCCAATCCCTGTACTATAGTGATGTGGTTTTATTTTGTTTTGGCAGTCCTGAGGCTTGAACTCAGGACCTGGGCACTGTCTCTGAGCTTCTTTTGCTCAATGCTAGCACTCTACCACTTGAGCCACAGCACCATTTTGGCCTTTTCTGTTTATGTGGTACTGAGGAATTGAACCCCAGGCTTCATGCAACCACTTCCTTGGCCATAGTACCTTCCAACAAGCAAGTTTAATCTCCTTTCTTCTCTCTCCTTCTCTCCCCCCCTTTTTTTTTTGGGGGGGGGGTCCGGTCATGGGGCCTGAACTCTGGGTGCATTTATAGTGATTTATTGTTTGTTTCTGTGCTGGTGTGCAAACTGAACTCTGCAGGTGGCCTGTGCTCTACTACTTGGACCACATTTCCAGGTTTTGTTTTTTTTTAGTGTTTCACTAGGTTACCTAGACTGGCTTCCCCATCCTCCTGCATTAACTTATTAGCCTCGGGAGCAGGTAGGGGATTACACGTGTGCACTGCTGTTTCTGGCTTGGTTTTAAAATACTCTGATTAGTTTTCCTTTTTTTTTTTTTTAAAAATGGAAGTTTGATTCTGTTTTGTTTAATCACCTAGATAGTAACCACATCTCTGGCAAGGAGAATGGGCTTACTGCTTAGATCTTGGCAGATTTGAAGAAAGGTCTTGAGTGAGTATAGGTGCTTCTGATGGTTATGATTACTGTTAGGACTTATTTGGAATTTATCCCTATCGTCTGCCTAAAAATTGCTGAGCATCAGTGGCTCATGCCTATAATCCTAACTACTCAGGAGGCCGTTCAAAGCTAGCCCAGGCAGAAGTCTGTAAAACTCTTATAACCAATTGACAAAGTCAGAAGTGGAGGTGTGGCTCAAGTGGTAGAGTGCTAACCTTGAGCTATAAAAAAGCTCAAGGACAGTGCCTAGGCCCTGAGTTCAAACTCCAGGACTGATACCACAAAAAGAAAAAAAGAGAGGGGGGCTGGGAAGGTGGCTCAGTGGTAGAGTGCTTGCCTTGCATGCATGAGGCTCTGGGTTCGATTCCTCAGCACCACATAAGCAGAAAAAAAAAAGCCAGAAGTGATGCTGTGGCTTAAGTGGTAGAGTGCTAGGCTTGAGCTGAAGAGCTGAGGGACAGCGCCCAGGCCCAGAGTTGAGGCCCCACAACCGGACCCCCCTCCCCCCAAAAAAATGTGCCTCCCACAAATGTATCAAGTAGCAAATACAAAGTCCTCTATTCTTTATCTGACAATTGTAACTGTTAGATCTCAAAAATAACTCCTCTGGGGCTAGGAAGGTAGCTCAGTGGTTGAGTGCTTGCCTCAGCACCTCATTCCTCAGCACCACATAAACAGAAAAGGCCAGAAGTAGAGCTGTAGCTCAAGTGGTAGAGCGCTAGCCTTGAGCTGAAGAGCTGAGGGACAGTGCACAGGCCAGTTCAGGCCCCATGACTGTCAAAATAAATAAATAAATAAAATAAAAAACTTCCCAGGAAACAACCCCTAAATGATCAAATAGAGTAAATTATATTGTTTTTCTACTACCCACCTTCTTTCCATAAAGTTTGCACATCCTGAACCTGTCCTGGGGCTTACAGTGCCTTTAGTATAGAGGAATGCACACCCTACCCCCTACAACTGGGCTCAGCCACTGGACTCACTCTGCCTCTGCTGGTGGATATGAACATATACATGCCATTTCCGGGAGGAGACTTCTCTAGCTTTCTCTCTGGACCATTACAAAGGCCTATCCATACAGACTCAGAAGAAAAATTTTTTTCCTTTTGCTCCTGTATTTTTCTTTAAACATGTCTACAAGAAATTTTAAATTACATAGGGCTTATATTATGCTTCTACTGGAGACTACTTTAAACCCAAGGTACACATCTCAAAAACAAATGCCCTCTAACAATATTAACTTTTCCTTTTTTTTCTTTGGAAGTTTGAACTCAGGGTCTCACACTTGCTCAGCTTTACAACTGAGCCATGCCTCATGGCTCTTTTACTGGTTATTGTGAAATTAGTCTGTCAGACTTTCCTTCCCCTGGCTAGCTTGAAAATACCACCCTCTGGCTCTCAGCCTGGAGTAGCTAGGATTAAAGGAGTAAGCCACTGGGGCCTGGCATACTTAAAATTTTTAACTGATCAAATTAGATTGATCTCAAAAATCTAAAACTGAACTTCACACAACCCTTAACTAAACTGGTATATTCAGGTTTATGTAATCCTGTGCTTGTTACTTTACATTAAAAGAAAACAAAAGTAAGGACAGGACAAAAGCCCATCATAAGACTATTGAGTCAGCCGCCTCTAAATTGTATTTTGAATTTTAGGTTACCAAAGAAGTCACTCACTCTCAAATAACCACTCAGAGCAAATGCCAACTGAGATTTTTATGTACCAGCAACTAGTGTACATATAATTGCAGACAAAATGTCAAAGCAATTCTCAAAAGGTTGTGTAAGCTATAAATGATAAGATATTTTCAAATCCTAGACTATTCTCATTATCCATCTACTTTTCATGATTTCAAGAGCTACTTCTTACCACAATGTGCTGCTTTGTTCTCTTTAGACTTGCAAGGATTGTTTCTTTCAATAAAGTACTTGATAATTTGAAAGGAAGTGGCCCAGAAAAGTTTGAAGGTTAAAAAAGCATTATCTAGCTGAGTATTTCACTCCTGTAATACTAGCTACTTAGAAGGCTGAGATCCAGAGGATCTCAGTTTGAGCCAGACAGAAAAGACCATGAGACCTCATCTCCAATTTTAACCAACAGAATGCAGGGTAAAAAAGAAAAAAGCAAGCAAGCAAGCAAGCAAGCAAGCAAGCAGGGGTATAAGTGTGGCTTGGTGGGTAAAGCACCAACTGTGAACAAGCAAGTTTGAGGCCTAGAGTTCAAACTCTGGTAACATGCCCCACCCAAAACATCAACTCTAGTATCAAGAGTTTCATATGAAAAGATTAAATAGAATCAAGATTTTCATTTTATTCTATGTTCTTTCTGGACCAGACTGGCAGTAAAACTCTAATGTGGCAGAATTTGTTACTTTAAATAAATGGAATTATAAATTGCAACCTAAGAGCTCAGTATTCTGTCCAATAATATTCTGTCTTGCAACTGTACTATAACTCAAGTTACCCAACTCTTAAACAAGCTCCAGTGACTTGTCCAGAGCCCTGTTAACTGCAGGAATAACATGCGCTCCTCTTGCCACATAACATAGAAGTTCCCACATAATGATGCTAAAGGTCATCAATTTCTAAACTTTACAAACTGACAGCTAAAACAAAACAACAACATATTAATCAAATGCAGGTCCTTTGTAACTAACTTCAGTTCCTACTTAAAATTAAATCAATTCTTGACTTAAATACAGTCTATTGGAACTGGAAAAGTAGCTCAGCGGTAGAGTGCTTGCCTTGCATGCATGAGGCCCTGGGTTCGATTCCTCAGCACCACATAAGCAGAAAAGGCTGGAAGTGGCATTGTGGCTCAAGCAGTAGAGTGCTAGTCTTGAGCTGAAGAGTTCAGAGACGGTACCCAGGCTTAGAGTTCAAGTTCCATGACCAACAAAAAATAAATCACTCGCGCGCGCGCGCGCGTGTGCACACACACACACACACACAGAGTTTATTATCCTATATCCAAATAGTCACATTAAGAATGAACTGTGGGGCTGGGAAAGTGGCTCAGTAGTATAGTGCTTGCCTTGGATGCATGAGGTCCTGGGTTCGATTCCTCAGCACTACATATGCAGAATAAGCTGGAAGTATCTCTGTGGCTCGAGTGGTAGAGCACTAGCTTTGAGCAGAAGAGCTGAGGAAGGGACAGCACCCAGGCTCAGAGTTCAGGCCCCACAACCGACCTCCCCCAAAAAAAGAAAAGAAAAGAAAAAGAATGAGGGCTGGGAAGGTGGCTCAGTGGTAGAGCGCTTGCCTTGCATGCTCGAAGCCCTGGGTTCGATTCCTCAGCACCACATAAGCAAAAAGAAAAAAGCGCTGTGGCTCAAGTGGTAGAGTACTCACCTTGAGCTGAAGAGCTGAGGGACAGCGCCCAGGCCCAGAGTTCAAACTTCATAACCGACAAAAAGAATGGACTATGAAAACCAACTGCATGAATGAGCCCATGTCTCAAAAACAAACAAACAAAAAAAAAGAAAAGAAAAGAAAAACAACAAGGTTCTTCAACTAAGATCAAGTGGCTTAGGGCTTACCTAAACAAGCATGAGGCCTAGAAGGTAAGGTACCACAATTCAAAGCTACAGTACAAGTCATTAAGTTATGTGCTTTATTTACAACTTCCACTCTAAGTTTAATGAAGAGCTACAAAGTAACTTCAAGAGCATACAAACTCAAAGCATTAAGCCAATAAAATACACAAATCTGCTTTAAAGTATACGTGCAATCAAAACAGATCGTGAGGAAATTAAGGCATCAAATCCTATTAAAAATATAATCAGAAGTCTAAGTGGAAAAGTGAGAATCACCATACTTAAAATGCAGCCATTACTCAACCATATATTTGTTCTCCTCTATGAAACCATTAATAGCCTAATAAAGAAATATGCCAACCCACCAACTATACAGTACAATTGTTTATAAACCATCCTCAAAGTGCTTTCACTTGAACAAATTCCCAGGAGAGCAATTCCCTGCCCTCAATATATAATGCTTTTAAAGAATTACTTTGTTAAAGAGTTCTAAATACCGGTATGGGAAATTAAAAAAAAAGAATGTTTATTTGAATAGAAACCATTTAGTATGTTTCAGGTTTCAACTGTCATTATTAAGAAAAACTCTTGAGTCTTAACGCCCATTTCCTGCATGGGGAGCAGGAAATGTTTCTCTTTTTTCTTCCCTACTTTAACCCTGTTATACTGAAATAAATCCTCACTAAAACTTTGAAAAGAGGAAGGCAGAGGGAGACAGAAAATGGAGAAAAGGAGGGAGAAAGGAGAGAGAGGAAGAAAGAAGGAGAGAGAGGGAGAGAGAGATTCTTTAAGGTTGAGGATGTGGCTCAGTGGTAAAGCAGTTGCCTAGGATACTGGGGAGGTGGGGAGATAATTCTTCACGTACATATTTCACTGATTTAATGAAATGTTATTTGAAGCCTGTGTCCTAGTCCTGAATAGCTGTCTATGACCATTTTTCACCTGTTACAGACTTGGAATGTGCCTCCTCTCTGTGGCATGTTTCTTACATGTGCTGAACAGACCTGAAAAAAGTAACCTCTAGTGATGTGTCAATGACCATCAACATCTCAAAACATCAATGACATAAGACTATCAGATTCCCAGAGGTAAAATTGTACTCCACTAGTGTTTAGAAATATTTGAAAATGCATGGTAACTTTAAAATAACGATGTAAGTAGAGCTAACCTTCTATCACTCAATTAAACCTTCAGTCACAAACTAGACTGACATTTAAATGAAAGATGAAAGAGGAAGCCAGCACTCAAGAGGCAAGACAGGAGGATCTTGCTAGAGAACAGTCTAGAAGAAACACAGCAAGTTCCAGGTTAGCCTGATCTTGAAAGCAAGATGCTGTCCCAATAAACCACAGACTGGGGATGGAGCTCAGTAAACCACTTGCCTAGTACGTGGAAGGCCCTGGGTTCATTCTCAACTGGAAAAAACATTGAAGGACAGGGCTTGGGATACTGCTTAATGTTATAACTTATGGCTGTCAGGTCCTGGTTTTGATCCTTCATCCCCTCCCTCCCCAGGAAAAAAAAAAAATGGCAAGCGTCCTTGTAATTAATCTTAGCACTTGGGAGTCTGAAGGAGGAGGATGGAGTTCCAACCAGACTACACAGGGAGACCTTGTCTCAAAAGCAAAACAAAACGAAACTGAAAGATGAGCTAATAAGCAGCTCTCCCAGGTAGGAACTGGGCAGAGTACACAGGATTGTAATCCTGACCCCCACCCAGCATGGCAATGTGGTATGTGACCCTTAACAAATAAAGCTCTGTCCTCTGAGATCTATTTGACAGGGAGACGGGGCCACCTTTAAGATCTACTGCAAGATGTTATAGGTGTACTTTATTTAAAAATCAAACAAAATCTCCTACAGCATAGGCTTTATTTTCCAAGTGTCTTTATGCAGAAATACCTAACATTCATAACCTGCCTCAAACAAGATCTTGTCAAGTATTATAGTCAAGCAAAGATCAAGGAGAAAAATATCACCTAGACACTTCCTCCCACACAGAAACTAATAGAAATTCCTACAAAACCTTATCCTTTCAAAGAGAAAGGGCTGATACAGTAATAACCAAGTTTGATTACACCTTAAAAAGATTCATCTGACATCCATTAAAAAGAATTAAGCCCATACACTTTCAGCTAAATGATTATGCATGTCCAAGTAATCAAACACTGATGAGAAAGGCAGCGGCTTCCTATTGAAAACAAAAGTCAATCTTGGATTTTTTTTTTCCTAGTCCTCTAAAAAAATTTTTTTTCCTTAAAACACAAATGCCAACCAGCTTCTAAATCTTGCAAGATTGCAAACCTGTGTGCGTTCAGAAAAGGAGAAAAGCATCATCAGGTCCTCTTCCTAAGTCTGAAAATGCCTGACGCTGTCACTTCATCCCCGGCCTAAAGTCCACTAGGGAGGAGAAAAACACCGCTGCTCCCGCAGTGATCAGACACGCAAGTCGAGACCCGGACCTGCTGGATCACGAGGCCACACGGGTACAATCTCAAAAACTTAACTTGACTGTTCACTAGTTATGAAAAGAAGAAAAAGAAAAAAGGGGGGGGGGGAGGCAAAAAGAAGCCCCGGTACTCGAGGGCCTAAAGCCAAGTTGGGAGGACGAAGGCGCGCTACGCGCCCATCGCTAGCGAGGCCCGGGGACAAAGTAACGCGATCGGAGGCAGGATGGAGGCGCGAGGCTCCGGGGACGGCTCGAGTTGGGCCCAATCCCTGCGGGAGGGAATCGGGGCGCCTCCAGGACCCCAAGACTGCACGACCGAGTTCGGCGTCCAAGCTTCCCCCCTTCCCCCGTCCCTCCCCCGCCAACCCCCTGGCATCCCCAGCGTGCTGACAGCAGCCCCAAGCGCGGCCCTGTCCGGCTCGGAAGCCCCGGCCCACCACGGCCCGCGGGCGCCCAGCTGGCGTGGACAGTAAAGGATACTCCCGGGTGCGGAAGGCCTCCTGGGTGTGCGGGATTGTGAAGAGAGGCTCCTCTCCGGGTAGCGGCTTCACCAGCGGGAAGGGCTTGCGGCCCAGGAGCGGCGCCATGGCGGCGGCGGCGGCGGCGTGGCGGGCGGGCGGGCGCGCGGCTCCTCGCCGGCCCGGGGCGCAGCGCTAGGCCCCGCGGCCCGGAGCGGGCGCCTGGCTCCCGGGGAGGTGGGGGAGGGGAGGGGTGAGAGGGCGGCGCGAACTCCGGCTCCCTCACAGCCGGCGCCGTTCCGTGGGAGCCATGGGGCAGAAAGCCCAGGCACACAGCCTCCACGCACCCCGCGGCGCCTCCTGGCAGCGGTCCCCCGGCCAACCTGCACTCTGAGTCCCCCGCAGCCGCCAGTCACAACTCCTCCTTAGTGGCACCGGAGGAAATTATTGAAAAATGGCGGGAGATTCCCCTCCTCCCCCCCCGCCGGGCCAGCGCTCACACTAACTTGCTCCCCTGTGGCGCCGCTGGCGAATGCTCCAATAGGCTGAGACCTAGTCAGCTCTCACAGTCTATTGGCTGAGAGCGGCTGCCGCTCGCCGCCAAAGTCCCGCCCCTTTTGCCCCAGCCGCGTAGTTGGGTTGCAGCGCACCAGAGGGCAGTCTGAAGAGGTGAAAGGTCACGTTATGTAAGCGCTGGTGACAGGCGTGCGGGGGTCCAGCCGCGGAGTTAAAAGAGAGAGACAGCGGGAGACCGAAAGTCTGAGAACTCAAGGAGGTCAGGCCCCAAAGACATTCACGTATTACAGACATTGCGCCATCTGTCACCGACGGCGACACCGACATCCGGGCACCGCTGTCCGTGTGGTGCGCCGGAGGGGGGAGGGGGAGCGCGCGGCCAGGGGCTTTGTCTTTCCACTCGCGCTCCGCCCCCTTCTTAAAGGCGCCGTGCTCGGCCACGCCCGGGGATGCGCGGGTGGGACTGGACGGCTGCGAGGGATTGGCGGGAAGCAGCCTTCAGACTTTCTTCCAGCCTGAGCCCCGGCAGGGCGCAGCCTAAAGTTTTCTTCTCTGGACGAGATTGCGGTTGAGAGCTGGATAGTATTTTCCACTTGCTTCTAGTGGGTTCGCCGGAAAGGATCATGTAGGAATTTCTTTGAAAAACAAATGTTAAGAGGATAAACGCGTCATCTTCAGTGCTCAGGAGACTGAGGCAGAAAGAACAGAGTTAGAGCCAGATGGGGCTGCATAGCAACACCCTGTCTTTTTTTTGGGGGGTGGGGGTGGGGGACGATGTGGTTTAAGTGGCAGAGTGCTTGCCTAGCGATCACAAGGCCTTGAGTTCAAGCCCTATTACTACCAGAAAGACATTATCTTAAATATGTATGTATGTATGTATATATATGCTAAATGTAATATAAACCTTAATGCATTAAATAGTATCCACCAGCAACCTACCATATTCTAGCCTCTGTGCTATTAGTTATGGAGGAGAAATAGGATGCGAGAGGTTTCCTCGGAAATAAAACAGATAGGCTGGGGAAAATCCAGGCCTAGATGTAGCTCAGTGGAAAAGTGCTTCTTGCACATGTGCGACACTGGTTTGGGGGTTGGGGGGGGGATGGGAGAATACCTTCCCTTGTAAGGAATGTTCTAGATCAGTGCCTCCTCTAGTCACCTAGCAGGGAAGGAAGTAGATTTGCCCTTCCATTTCCCATTTTCCAGAGGACAGAGTGAAACCTCAGCCGACTTGACTGAGCACTGGAGTTGATTTAAGTAAGCCCTCTAAACCAGAAATGAAGAAAGAGCCTGGGAGACCAGAGAGCCCCAAGGGGAAGAGAATTGATTGTGGGGATTGAACTCACTAGTCACTGTCCCTGAGCTTTTTTGCTCAAGGCCAGTGCTCTACCACTTTGAGCCACAGCTTGACTTCTGGTTTTTAGATGGTTAATTGGAGATAACCACTTTGAGCCACAGCTTGACTTCTGGTTTTTAGAAGGTTAATTGGAGATAAGGAGTATCGCAGACTTTCCTGCTTGGCCTAGCTTCAAACCACTATCCTCAGGTTGAAGTCTCCTCCTGAGTAGCTAGGATTTCAGGTGTGAGCCCTGAGTGCCTGGCATCTGTGAGACTCTTACTGCCAATTAATGACCAGAAAGAAAGCTGGAAGTGGAACTGTGGCTCAAGTGGAAAAGCAGTAGCCTTGAGCACAAAAGTTCAGGGCCAGTACTTAGGCCCTGAGTTCAACCTTCCAGGACCAGCAAAAAAAAAAAAAAAAAAGAAGAAGAAGAAGGGTTTTGAGGCAGAAAGCCTAAGGCTCTCTTGAGAGAATTTACAAACTGGCAAATAACTTGTGGCCTTAACTTGGCTTTTTTTTTCTGTGGCCCAGGATGGCCACAGAAATTGCTAGCCTGAACTTCATACTACAGTTTAGAGGATGGTGAAGTGACGCTCAATGAAGGGGGGTGGGGGGCCTTCTCTTATGCCTTGATCATTTTCCTGCAGGTCCTCTGCAGGCTACATCTACTCCAGCCCTGATTCTGCTGTTTCCTGTTTGTTCTATGGGTTCCAACCCAACCTACCAGACTTCAGACTTCATTTATAGAAATTTAGTTCTTAAGTCTATCTGGTTTAGTTTTGTTTTTTTTTTAATTTATCTTGTTTTTTGGTCAGTTGTGGGCTTGAACTCTGGGCTTGGACACTTGCCCTGCGCTCTTCAGCTCAAGGCAAGCACTCTACCGCTTGAACCACAGTGCCACTTCCTGTTTTTTGGGGGGTTTTTTTTGGTCCAGTTGTAGGGCCTGAACTCTGGGCCTGGGTGCTGTCCCTCAGCTCTTCAGCTCACGGCTAATGCTCTACCACTTGAACTACAGCGCCACTTCCGGCTTTTTTCTTTTTTCTTATGTGGTGCTGAGGAATCCAGCCCAGGGCCTCATGCATGCAAGGCAAGCACTCTACCACTGAGCCACCTTCCCAGCCCCCACTTCTGGTTTTCTAGTGGTTTATTGGAAATAAGAGTCTCACAGACTTACCTGCTCGGGCTGGCTTTGAACAGTGATCCTCAGATCTCAGCCTCCTGAGTAGCTAGGATTGCAGGTGTGAGCCACCAGTGCGTGGCTTGGTTTAGTTTTTTGACACATCTTATTATGTATCCCAGGCAACCAAGGTAGCCTCCTGCCTAAGACTCCCAAATGCTGTGATTATAGACATGTGCCACCACACCCAGCAAAACCTGGTTATTTTTTATATTTGCTTACCAATTAGACATTCAATAGCTTTGGCTCTTTCAACATTAAAATGAAATTAGAATATACTGGGTCTAAGCAACATTGCTTTGTCCTCATAGCCATCCTGGCTCCTAGCTGGGTGGTGGGGGCTTTTCACCCAGTTCTGGAAAAGCCTAGAGGTGAGACAAGCCATTCTTTGAACTGCAGGTGTGTCACGTTGTTTGGCCCCAGGAAAAATCTGCTTCACAGACTAAGCGGAAGTATCATGCTGTTTAGCCCCAGGAAAGTTTTTCTTCAGAGAATGCTGGCCCCTGGTCAGTTCCCTAGACCTTTGCTTTGCTGACCTTGATTGTTCCTCTATAAAGTCTGCCTTTGTAGGGCTTGGGTCCCCATTCCAAGTTTTCAAAACTTTGTGCCAGCCACTTTCTGCACTGTAGGTCTTTAGGAGTCCACCTGCAGTAGCCAGCTTTCTATTTATTTTTATTTTCACTGCCAGTCTTGGGCTTGAACTCAGTCCCTGAGCTTCTTTTGCTCAAGGCTAGCACTCTACCACTTGAGCCATAGTGCCACTTCCAGCTTCTTCTGTTTATGTGGCACTGAGGAATTGAATCCAGGGCTTCATGTATGCTAGGCAAGCACTCTAAAATAAACTACATCCCCAGCCCCAGCTTTCTAATAAAGACTTACAATTCCATCTCTCAAAATGTGGCTTCTCTATATCTTGCTGATCAGATTCCTATATAACAAAAACCATCTTAGTTTATGTATAACTTAGAATTGAAGTATCTGTACTGCACCAGTGCCCGACTCTTCTTTAAAAATGTTAACATAGGGGCTGGGAAGGTGGCTCAGTGGTAGAGTGCCTGCCTTGCATGCATGAGGCCCTGGGTTCAATTCCCAGGAACCACATAAGCAAAAAGAAAAAAGCCAGAAGTGGTGCTGTGGCTCAAAAGGTAGAGCGCTAGCCTTGAGCTGAAGAACTGAGGGACAGCACCCAGGCCCAGAGTTCAGGCCCCATTGACCGGACCTCCCCCCCCCCAAAAAAAAAAATGTTAACATAGAGCCAGGCACCAGTGGCTCATGCCTGTAATCCTAGCTACTCAGGAGGCTGAGATCTGAGGATCTCGGTTCAAAGCCAGCCCCGGCAGGAACGTCCGTGAAACTCTTATCTCCAATAAACCACTAGAAAACCGGAAGTGGCACTGTAGCTCAAGTGGTAGAGCCGCTGGCCTTGCCTTGAGCTGAAGAGCTGAGGGACAGTGCTCAGGCTAAAAGTTCAAGCCCCACAACTGACCAAAAAAAAAGTTAACATAGCTGGGCACTGGTGGCTCATGCCTGTAATTCTAGCTACTCAGAAGGCTGAAATCTAAGGATCATGGTTCAAAAACAGCCCAGGCAGGAAAGTCCATGAGATTCTTATCTCAAATAAACCACCAGAAAACCAGAAGTGGCACTGTGGTTCAAGTGGTAGAGCGCAAGCCTCAAGCTGAAGAGCTCAGGGACAGCGCCCAGGCCCAGAACTCAAGCCCCACAGGAGGCTGAGATCTGAGGATCATGGTTAAAAGCCAGCCAGAGCAGAAAAGTCACCATCAGACTCTTATCTCCAATTTAACCACTCAAAAACCAGAAATGGTGCTGTGGCTCAAAGTAGTAGGGCACTAACCTTGAGCAAATAGCCCAGTGACACCACCCTGGGGCCTCAGTTCAAGCCCCACCCCCCAAAAAAATATGTCAACAACAACAACAACAACAAAAAAAACCCTTTTGCCGGCACAGTAGCTCATGCCTATAATCCTCTCAGGAAGCTGAGATCTGAAGATCAAGGTTCAAAGTCAGCCCAGGCAGAAAAGTCCTTAAGAATGTTATCTCACATTAATCATAGAAAAAGCTAGAAGTGGTGCCAGGACTCAAATGGTAGAGCACTAGCCTTGAGCAAAGAGCCCAGGGATGGGCTGGGAAGGCAGCTCAGTGGTAGAGTGCCTGCCTTGCATGCATGAGGTCCTGGGTTCGATTCCTCAGCACCACAAAAGCAGAAAAAGCTGGCTCTGTGGCTCAAGTGGTAGAGCTCTAGCCTTAAGTTGAAGAGCTGAGGGACAGCGCTCAGGCCCAGTTCAGGCCGCACAACTGACCAAAAACAAACAGCCCAGGGACATGCCCCAGGCCCGTAGTTCCAGCCCCAGGACTGGCATTGTTCTCTCAAAGTTCCCTCAGGTGTACAGGGATAAAGCAAAAGTTTCAAACAACTGCCATCAAGTGTACTCTCGTAAACCAGACCAA